CGGCTCAGTGAGAAATCGCCAAACTAGCTTCATTAATAAAGCACGATTCATAAGTCGTTGGTCCTTCATCCCAAGACCACCATCCTCTCTTGGCCGGCAAACCTCTGACCACGAGACCAGAGAAACCTTACGGGAAGAAGATGTACCTCCCCAAATAAAGTTCCGGCATTTCCGCTCCAAACTATCACAGACACCAAAGGGCAACAAGGTCGTCTGCATGGCATAATATGGCAAAGCACTCAACGCTGACTGGCCAGCGTGACCCTCCCAGCCAAAGACAAGTTCGTCGCCTTCCAATCGGCCAACCTTCTCTCGGCCTTTTCCACGATGTCGACGTATGTAGATTTGTTCACTCGACTATGGATCATGGGCATGCCTAAGTATTTTCCCAAGTTATCCATGACGCGAAACCCTAGCCGTTGCGCCAAAACCAAACGCTCCATTTCTGGGACGTTCGAAGAAAAGAAAACCTGGGTTTTTGGTTCACTAACCTTCAGGCCCGAAGCCTCACAAAATTTAGACAACAACGTCTTCAAATAATCAGCTTGGGCCTGAGATGCCTCAATAAACAGAACAAGGTCGTCGGCAAACATTAGATACGGAACCGAAACAGCCCCTCGCCCCACACTTATCGAAACCCACTCACCGTTCGTCACTGCCGAGTCGATCATGTGCGCCAAGCGTTCGATACACAAGACAAACGAATATGGAGAGATCGGGTCACACTGTCTTATACCTCGGGAGACGGGGAACTCCTCGCTAAAAGCGTCGTTCCACTGCAACTACATGGATACCAAGTGATACACGACATAACACAGTTGACAAATCTGGCGGGAAAGCCAGCCAAACCCAACGTTTCCCGAATGAAGTCCCACTTCAAATAATCGTAAGCTTTCTCCAAATCCACCTTTATCACCATGAAACCTTTCCTCCCTTTCAGTCCACGCATCGAATGGATGAGCTCTTGGGCCACCACGATATTATCTGTAATGTGCCTAGATGGCACAAAGCTCGTCTGGGTTGGACTAATCCTCCCTATATATAATTCCAGAATGCGCTGAGCCTACGTGGCTGCTTCTGGTGCTTCGGAATCCTATTTGGCGAAGAATCATGCTTCGTAATTAGGTTTGGATAAATAATATTGATATATTAATAATTAATAATCTAGGTTCGGGTATTCCATAAATATTATTTAGCTAATTTAAGTATTTTAATATCACTTTTACTAATATAACCCTTTAATTCTTTGTAATTTTACTAAGTGACTAATATATCCCTGAATTTTGATTTGTTTCCTTCAATAAGCTATTGAATTATAAATGTATTTTAAAAGGTGATAACTTTTGTATTTTTTATCGGTTTTACATATATAATATATCAAATTAATCATCTTTTGATGATCTTCGATTTGACATCCATATTGTATATATATGAAATAAATAAATTATATTTATCTTTATAATAATAAAAATAATAATATTTATTAAAATTCATTAGCAAAATAAAATTATTATTCAATTGATATATTTATATGTAATGTAATTATATATTGTAAGTTAAAAAAAATTAGTATAATATAACACAAGTAAATTGCACAAATAAAAAGTGTCATAATAAATATATAATAATATATATATTCTTATAAAAGGTATTTAAATTTTCAAACTACTTTTTCTCATTAATTTTAGATTTTAAGAAAAAAATTAGCAAGCACCCGTGTAATACACGGGTATTGTACTAGTTAATAAGGAGAGGAAGAATCGGCTTCATCCGTTCTGTACATGATATTAATATTTAATAAATAATGATATTGTTATAATTTTAAGTCATTAGTTGGTCGCCATTAGTCAAAGTTCTAAGAATATTAATATTTATTTAAATATAGCGATTTATATATAAGATGCAATTTATATTTATATTGTTGTTAAAATTTTAAAAGTGTTATCTAGCGTATATGTTTAAATATTATATACATACATATAACTTATAATCTTTTATTTGTTTGTGTGCATATGTATATGTTTAAATATTATATACATATATATAACTTATAATCTTTTATTTGTTTGTGTGCATACGTACATAATCAACTGCTAGTTAGTATAGCGACTTAAGGTAACCCGAGTTAAATATATCCGATGAAAATGAGTTTTTTTGGGTAACCCGAGTTAATTTTGAAAAATGTAGTATGATTAGTTGTTCGTGAGATTTTAGTTATATATTAAAATAGTATTTAAAATAAAGTTGATTTGATGTAAATGTATGAGATAGATGATGTGAAGTGATAGTTAAAATTATTTGAGTAGATAAATAGTAAATTAAGATGTGCTGTATAAAAATGTTTGATTTAGATTATCTAATTATATTGATAATATTAAGGATAATGTAGTTGCGTTAAAAATTAAGTTAAATTTTAAATATAATTGAGTATAAGTTAAAAAAAAATTATAAACAAACACCCTCTTAATTAATTGTGAAGCTGGAATAAGAGAATAAATAATATAAGTGGTTTCGAACTATCCACGGAGTATGTATCAATTCTTGTTAGGAAGCATCACTCCAAAATTTAATGCTAATGTGAAGATAGGAAATAATGAACCACGTTAATTAAAGTTTTTAGCAAAACTCAAATTACAAGTGGAGTCGTAAAGTCTCTTGTACATTAAAAGACTGCTGACAAAATAATATTCTAATCAATAAATTTCCTTTCCTATAGCCAAATTGTGGATGTGATTTTGAGGAGTACAATATATCAATATAGCTGACTTACTTTTTTTTTTTTTTTTTTTCNNNTTTTTTTTTTCGAAACAATAGAGATTTTATAAAACACAGAAAAGTGCAAAAAAACCAACTAATAGCTGAAAGATTGGAAGAGCAGATCCGAAGATCTTCTGAAGCCTAACTAGCAACCAGGGTGGACCTACATATGAACTAGGGGAAGCCACGGTCTCCCCCAAACTTCTGGTTTTTCTACCTAAGTATATATATGTAATATTATTGGATTAAGTATATTTAACTATTATTATCCACATTAACCAAATAATTAACGATATATTGATTGATATTATGTGGACTAGGACATGTCAAGGCACATTAAAGAAATATATATAAGATAAGTTACAAAAAGCTCATTTCCACCTTTTATTGTATTATATTACTTTTTTTATTAATAAAACTACTATAATTAACATTAAGGAATAAACTCAATTCAAGAGTCTAGAGATAAACTAACTTTAACATCATTATTCGCCGCACAGAAAAGCCTCAATTTCTCGCCGCTCAGATACCCTACACTTCGCCGCTCAAATCCTTCCTCCTTCGCCGTTTTAGCAGTATTCCTCAGCGGGATGTCGGACCTCTTTCCTGTGGTCGGCCCTTGGCCGATGGCCTCGCCCTAATTTCGTGCCTCTCCTAGCCCGTTCTGCTTCGGGGGGTGACGACGGAGTCTGCGACGGTTTTGCCGTTTTCAGGTGATTTTTCGTTTCTTTTTCGTCGGCTACCTTGTGTCCTGGGAGAGCTGGGTATGGTGTGTCGTAGGGAGAGCTGCTTCGGTTAGTGGTGTTAGCTGGTTCGGGACTGTGGTTGTGGGTTGTGATTTAGGTTTCTTTGGCTTTCTACGAAGGGGAGGGTCTGCTCACATGTTGGGTCCAGGGCCTGGGTTTCCGCTTCAGATAGGCTTTCGGCAGTTTCGACGGCTTCTCGGGCTGCGGATGTTTCCTAAGCTTTGATTGTTCATTCGGTAGATTTGCTGCAGAAGGGCTCTTTATTAGTTATAACTATCTTGGTTTTCGTAGTTTTGTTTCAGTTTTTACTTAGGACTTGTTTCTTTGGTTTGGGTCGTTGACCCTTGTGCACCCGAGTGTGAACTTATTATCCTGTTGGGATCGTACACTCAGGCATTACCCTGTTGGGATCGTTTCCTTTCTTTTCATTCTCTTCTTGGGAGTTTTAATGTCATTGTTTTTTTTTTTGTGTTTCTAGAGTATTACCCTGTTGGGTCGGTTCTATGCGGTCTTTTGACATGCCCACCTTGTTTATTCAGCTGTTGATTGTTTGTATTCAGTTGTTGGCTGTTTGTATTCAACTTGTGGCTATACGTTTGCACATTAGTGCGCTTTTATATAATATCTCTATCGTTTTGAAAAAAAACAAAAAAAAAAAAGTTTAGAGATAGAGATAGAAACACACAAAACAGTTGCTGGGCGTACAACACAGCAGAGACAAGCTTGCAATGTAAAAAAAAAAAAAAATAGAACAATTTTGCAGTAACAACAAGGATCGTCGTCCAATTCATTGATTCTTCCAAATAATTTGATCAGTTTTATATTTATGATTATTATAATTTATGCCAATGTTCGTAATTTTATTCATTTATCCTTCTTAGGGATGTAGGTTTTAAAACATGTGCCTATTTATTCATTATTCTTATATGTAGTGACTATCACAAAATAATTGTTGAGTATTTAGTGTGAAATTACACGGGAATCCTACAAACGGATATGTATTTTTCAATTCTTACAAAAGATCTAAATATAGAAAATCACAATTGGATTGAAAAATAAATTACAACTGAAAAAAGGGAAAGATTTTAGCCGAGGTGAGTAAACTCTTTCCACAAGAAGAATACGCCTCGTGTGTTGCTAACGGTTCAGGCGTAACTTTCCCAAAGATACAACGGCAAACGTTTCTAAATCTGTAGCACACCAGATTTACGAGCTCCAATGAACTGGAACGGAGTCGAGAATTGGGCACTTAAAAATAAAAAGAATATCATAAAACAAATAAAAATATCACTTGTTTCTCTCTTTTGATATTTTTATATCCGATATTTGAACATAAATCGATCTTTCTTTCCTTTCTCTTTCTATTTCTGTCCTCTCTTTTCTCTTCTTTTTTGTGCGCTTTTCTCCTTCTGTCGAGGCCTCTATTTATAGGCAAAATGAAGGAACCAATTGGCCAATTTGGCCAACAAAATGATTGAAAGATTTATTTTTTTTTTTTATTACAATTGGGGAGCGGTGCATGTGGGGCGGCACCGCCCCTAATAGATTTATTTTCTCACAATAATTTCTTAACACAGAGTGTGCATTTCGACAACGACTATTGTTAAATCAAAACTTCGAAGTAAACGGAAGATAACTTTCTTGTAATTCTTTGACTATCGTCGTTGAAAGGAAAATTCCAAGATCTATTACTACAGAATCAACCATCGATAGATTTTGTGACTTGACAGAACGTCGAACACAACTTTAATAGTTACAAAGTTTGAATGGTATGTATTTTCTTGAGCTACTTTTTTTTTTTCAATTCTAGAAATGCAACTTTGTCTTTTAATGAAGCATGTCACTAAAAATTAATTAGTCCCCCCAATTAAATTTTTTGGATCTGCCCCTGCTAGCAACGTTAGAACACCAAACTCAGTGACATTATTTAATCTATAAAATATTAATTTAAATAATTTTATAATTTAAATTAATTTTATTTTATCGAAAATAATTTTATTTAATTTAAAATGATATTATTTAATCTATAAAATATTTATTTGATTATTTTTATTTTATCTAAAAAATATTGTTTAATATAAAATAATTTTATTTAATCGAAAATAATATTTTTCAATTTATAAAATTTTAATTTAATTAACTAATTTATCAAAACAGACAATTTGTATCCAAAATCTGATGTAGCAAATTGGAAAGATTAATTTGTCCAATCTCATCATCATGCCTAAATATATCAATTTATTTCTCTTATTTTTTACACCAAATCAGTTTAACTATTTTATTTTAAATATTAATTTATTTAATAAAAATGTATTTTTACATTAAAGCAATTTAATTATTTTATTTTAAATATTTATTTAAGAAAAACATAAGTCTCACTAACAAACTACCCATACAATTTTTTTTCAAAATTAACCCTGCTAACAAAACAAAAAATAATAGAAAACTGATGACTGGAATTGGGGGCTGGGCTTAGGGAGGCCCGCCAGAGCGAGTTCTGCAAAAGTAAGCAGCGTCAACGCTCGGCTAGCCTATAACCCCTCCACAAATTACTGCACCACTAAAACCATGTTTAATGGGTGCCGCGGCCAGTTCTCACCGCCCGCATTGTTTTCCTTACTCATTAGTTTAAGGCAATTTATCTTAGATGCCGAGGCCCACTACTTATACCCTCCCCCGTTACCCTCCTCTTCCCTCCTCCTCCGATGTGGGACACTAATTTCAGTATTTTTCTCCCATTTTATTTCTTTCTCTCTTTATCTAAGAAAAAATATACTATTATTGTTCTGCTTCTCTTCTCTACTTTACTCTGCACTCGGGATTTGGAGAGAGAATAGAAAAAAAAAAAAAAAAAATGACCGCCGCGCCGCCAGCTGCGAATCCGTCTTGCCCGCTGTCCGCCGTCAATCAGGCGCTCCTCATGCTCCAGTCGGACGAGCTCAGTATGAGGGTAGAGGCGGCGAAAGATATCCGGCGGCTGACCAAGACCTCGCCGAGGTACCGCAGACACCTCTCCGCCGCCGTGAGCCCACTCGTGGGCATGCTGCGGCGCTCCGACTCCGCCGACGCCAACGAGGCTGCCCTCGCCGCTTTGCTTAACCTCGCCGTCAAAGACGAAAGGTATGAGCTGAGAAGCTTCAGATTTATCAATTTATTGTTCACCTTCGGCGTGTGTTTGTCGTGTCTGCTTCAATTGTGTGCTGAAATTGAAATCGAGGTAGATCTTGCCAGAGGCTAATTTAATTTCTCTGATTTTTTTTATTCTTCATGATACCCTATTCTGGCGCTGAATCCTAAATAAAAGATTCTAACGTTCATTAAAAAAAAAAATTAAAGATTGTTAATTGGGCCTTTTTTTGTTTTTTAATTAGTATCTGGCAAAAGAGCTTGATTCTTTGTTGGGCATCATTTTTTTGACTGATGAGTGATGACTGACTTTATTCTGTGCTCACTTTAGTCACACTTTGTTATTTGATCTTCTAGTTTGAAGTTAACAAACAACAAAGACATATCTTAAATTTTGTTCCGTAGAATCGCGTCTTGTGCGAAAGATACTTATTCGTCATTGCTCCTAGGATACAACCATTACCCGCCGCAAGTAAATATAGTGGTGTCGTGCGAATCATAGTAGATGATTTCTGTCAGAATGAGCTTTTAGTAACCAAACAAATTGTGCATCTCAGTGATTTTAGAACAATCAATCATATGTTGTTGGGATGAAAATTCTTGATTTCAGAAAATTGATTGTCCTCTGTACCATTTCTTTTGTAAACACATACAGAAACAAGGTAAACATAATCGAAGCTGGTGCCCTGGGGCCAATAATTTCATTCCTCCAATCCGAGAACCCGTGTCTGAACGAAAACTCGGCTGCCGCTTTAGTCACCCTATCCGCATCCCCACGCATGAAGCCCATAATCATCTCATCCGGTGCTATCCCTCCCCTCATTGGGATCCTCAGCTGCGGGGGCCCTCAGGCGAAGCTTGATGCCCTAACTGCCCTCCACAACCTCTCGACCCACCGGGATGCCCTCGGTCCAATCCTCGGGGCCCGACCCATCCCCCCACTGGTCAGCATACTGAAGTCACGCAG